GAGAGAGAGAGAGAGAGAGAGAGAGAGAGAGAGAGAGAGAGAGTGAGAAAGAGAGCGGAGGGGGGGATGGAAGAGAGAAAGCTGTAAATTGCGGCAAGGGACGCGGTACAAAGGGACCCGGGCACATGGAAGGGTGTGCCGGGTCGAAATGTTGGAGAGGTGGAAAGCACTTGCGCGCTCTTCGGGAGTAGCGATGCCGCTGGCAACTGCTCGCCGACTTCGATGACTCCGAGCCCGGCTCGGTTAGCTGGAGCGAGTGCGAGGGTGACTCGCGCGTGTACACGCGGTGGCAATTAGAACTTGCGCAAATTCTATTTCATGAACCGTTCACCCGCGACGCGCGGCTCGACTTCGCCAGCGGCGGCGCGTACTACAACGCGAAATCGAAACGCGGTGAATCGCGAACACGCGGTAAAGCGCTCGCGATCGTTACACACGTGTCTATTTTACACGCGGATTTGCACGCGATTCGCCCCGCGCTACGCTGAGTAGCTTAATAACCGGCCCGCGTCCGGCATCCCTTTTAACGCGCGACTCGTTCGCCCGACGCGCTGATTAAAAACGACGTTGCCCGTGCGGTTTTCGCGTGCGGAACGGCCGAGTGAGCACCGCCGTGTGTACATGTCGAAGCGCTCTCCTCCTCCACTGTCAAGTGTACGGGCAAAAGCACCGCGCGCGAATGCATGTGTTTCCCGCAGGGCCGTTTAATATGTTGCGTTTTATACGTTGCAGCTTAATATGCAGTCATACTTTTAGCACTGCTCGTTTTCATTTGATGTTTCTGCCTCTTGTCGTTGCCGTGCGCGCTCACGCCCGCGCATAAATAAATTGTCCCGCCGCTCGCGAAATCCGCTGAATAAGCGGCAGATTTTGTGGACGAACAAATTTTCATCGGAGGAGCTCATTTGGCGGGCTATCCCTCCGCGTCGGGCCCGATATATCGATTTAAACGGAAGGGAGCCGACAAATCGCGGGAGCGAATGCGATTATGTTGGAAATAATGCAAGCGGCTCGATGACCGGCGTGTCGACTCGCTCTCACAATAACGCGCTCGCGCGGGGATCGAGGCAAATTACAAAAAAGAGAGAAAAACGACAGAAGGAGAGAAGGAAAAACAGCGAACGCGCGAGGCTCGACATAACGCGTTCGCGAGCGCTCTCTTTCTCTCTCTCCCCCTCTCTCGTATATGCGCGATGATTACCGGACGGATCGTATTTCTTCGGCAAAACGTCCGGCCGGTAATTTCGCAGGCGTGTAAATCATCGGAATTGAAATTGATGAATCATTAGCCGTCCCGACCATCCGCGCGTTTTCGAGCGACGCGGCTGTGAGCGTTTAATCGACGTGGTCGTAAAAATTAATTTTGCACCACGACGAGAATCATTGTTTACGGAGCGTCCGGCAATGGCGGCTTCCCACCGGGATTAATATTTGTTTCTATCGTCGTGCGGATATCATAGTTATTTGCCATTCCAATTGGATCGGCTCGAGAGAGAGAGAGAGAGAGAGAGAGAGAGAGAGAGAGAGAGAGAGAGAGAGAGAG